GGCTGGAGAGCTAGACCCATTGAAAAAAATGCATATTTATTGCACACAAAAATGTGTGTATCCGTGTGTTCCTAGCACGTTCTTTCCCTATTTCTACATCAAAACATAATCCCGTACGAAAATTAAGTCACATATTTTCAAAAAAATCCAGGCGTATTTTAATCTAAAATCCTTGTGGAAATCTCTATTGAAATGAATATAATAAAACCAGGCGTATAATGTAAAATACGGGCGTACAGGAGGCGTAATCCTCCCGTATTTTTGGCCGAAATATGCAAATGAGTACGCCTGGAAATTTTAATAATAGAATTACGCCTAGATTTCAAGCATACCCCTAAAAATACGCCTGCAAAATAAATACGCCCGTATTAAAGAATACGCCCGTACAAAAAAAATACGCCTGTACAAAAAATACGCCTGCTTTAATTAGATTTGAATCAAATATTAATTATATTACTGCAATGGGAGCTACAACTATAGCATGAATATAAATGTACAATCAACTTTAGTACAAAGATTTTTGACTACATATGCTAAAAAAGATTAGACAAATTAAGCTTAGCATACATCACTTTTATTTTCTGAATATTTTTCAGTGTGATAAAATGTGAATGAGATTCAAATAAAGGATTGTCATTAAAATTTAAAAAAATCATAATCTTACATTTACTATTTCAAAGCACAGTTACATGTTAGAATTATATTAACCATTTCACAGCATTTTAACATCCAAGGCTGAGTTTTATAGTAAAACAGTTGAAACATTCCAGTAATCACAGTGAATCACAGTTTTGAGAATCATGCCGAGTACTCCTGTCATTCTTTTTACTCCTAAATTGGCATAAAAGATGCAAATCACAAGCGATTCTGTCATTCACGTTTCACATCACATTCCCCAATCACATTTTCATAGATTGAAATATTCACAAAAAGATGTTTGAATGTTTTATAACTGGCATTGCAAACAGTCTTCTTCTTCCTGATGCATTATCTTCCAATGGCTGCAGTTCACTGGCATTATTGCAATAAAATATGGAAAGCTAAATGCTGCTGGTCAACTCTTAATATTGCAATATCTTTTCTCCTTCTCTTATGACCATTTCATCATTCAATCAATTTTTCAACTGTGATAAGGATTTAGATGTAAATCATTTTCTGGAATAAAGTGCCGCGCCACAGCATGATACGCCCGTCAAAAAATTTTCTTGAACAGTTTAGGTGCAAGAAAATCACATCAACCTTGATTCTAAGATTTCGATGATTTTTCCATTCCTTAAAATATTTATCCATCCCCTGTGATGTAGGCATCAATTATAATAAATATTACATCACTGATAGATTTCTGTGCTGGTTGTGTTAGACCTTGTCAAATGCCCATCATCAAATTAGTCTTAACAACTTAATCTATACCAAATTAATTTTGAAAAGAAAAGGCTGGTCATCAAATGACACGTTATAAACTGACCAGCAGTTCTTCTGTCTAATCCCCAAAGGGTACAGATAAGACTGCTTAATTGGAGCGACTGAGACAGCTAACCTTCCTACATTGAACTCATTAATTAATCTTTAACTGGATGCTTGTCTACTCATTACTACCAAGAGATGAATGGGTCTGCACTATCTACTATAATTTTTTTTAAAAAAAACATATAAAATACTCAAAGATTTTTTTTTGTTGAGATTTAATGTCCGAGAGGTTTTAATATGTAATTCATATAGACATGCTGATTCCACCCCACCCCATAAAATTAGTTTTTAAATTAATAATATTACATAATATCAGATTAGTCTATTATGCAATATCAAATTAGTTTTAATTACTTTTCATCAAATTCATTTTAAAACTTAAGCTAGTCAACAAGAGCTATTTTTAATCAAACAGGCTTACCCATTTGGCCAATACTCAAGGGATACAGATAACACCAATGCTCTGTCAGTTTGCTCCTAGCACTCAAAACCCATTAATTTCTCTCTAATTTGACATGCAACTTTCTGTTATCAAAATTCTTCTTGACCAGTGCTTGATAATTACACTCATGGGAGAGGCAGGATTTCTCTGACATACATTATATTTGTTATAGATTGCTGTCAAGTATATGCTTAGAAAAAATAAGTATTTTCTTGATTTAACACTTTTTTACTAAGAACAGTGCAATATTCTTACATTATTTGGGATGTGTAAATGAATAGTAAAAAGACACATTTTTTTTTAAAAAATTCACTTAAATTAAAGGTCACAGTGACCTTGAAGTAGGTCGCGACACACCTTCTACCTAAGATGCATAAACTGGCCAAGTTTGATGATTGTAGGTCTAATGGTTTTCTAGTTATGGGCCAGAAAGAATTTTTCCATAATTGGCTATAACTTCTTAATTAAAGGTCAGAGCGACCTACTTTTTGTGCGCGATACACCTTCTACCCAAGATGCATCAGATGACAAAGTTTGATAATCCTAGGCCTAGTAGTATTAAAATTATGAGCCGGAAACGAAAAAGCTAACAGACAGACAGACGGACGGACACGAAGCCTATAACATAATACGTCCCGTCTTAAGACGGGCGTATAAAAAGAAAAAACACTAGAAAATAATTTATGTAATTCAAAATACTACTGACCCAATTTTCAATCATTAACATCTGGCTCTGCAAATCAAAAGCGAATTCAGCTGTCTTTTATTTTCATAGATAAAAAGTTTCAATGTTAAGCTGTGTTTTCAAAATAATTACCTCTTCTACACCATCTGTGCTTTGTTGTGGCTTTCTCTAATCTCATTGTTCTTGGCATGACCTGCCTGGTGGTTTAAAATTGGCGCAAATACTTGGATTCAGATGCTGTTGTTTACAACCCCCTAGTTTAAGCTAAACAGTTTTATGATTTCTGGATGGGAATGACAAAATTTCAGGTCCATGGGACAAAGTTCTAAAAAAAAAAAATCAGTTTAATTTATGAAAAATAATTGATTTGAATAATATCTAATATAGGTAATTACAAACTAAATGCAATATTGTAATGTATATAATCATGCAATATTTTGTTTTTTGTTTCAGTTATATAATATCATAAAAATGTTTCTTATGTAACTCAATACTTTTTAAAAAAGAGAATGAGTTGACTAAGTTTTTTTGGCTAAGTTGAAAAATCCACCAGAATTTTCAAAAATACGCCTTTTAAAATTTTCTAAGTTTTAAATTCCTTGTGCCAAAGAGACTAAGTAGAAAATACGCCCGGATTTAGAAATTACGCCTAGAAATAAGGAGACGTATTTCTGGCAAAAATACGTGTACGCCTGAAAATGAACCGTATTTTTAAGAATACGTCTCTTGTACGCCAGGATTTGCAAAAAATCCAGGCGTAATACGTCTCTGAATTTCGTTCGGGTTAATTACTACTTTTTAATAGGTCTTCTGGCCCTAAAATTGAGATCATTGAAAATTATTCCTATTTATACTGCCATTTTGATTTGCAAGATAATTCAGTCCAACACGCTTCGTACATATGTAAACTACAAGAGTACTTTTTAGAGGAGTAAGATTTTTTTGAAATCTAGATTTTTGCAACTGAGGTAAGAATTTGGAAGAATTAATCCAGAACGGAGTGCACTTTGTTGTGCGCAATAAATATACATTTTTTTCAATGGGTGGCACAATAGCTCTACGGGATGTCATTAATGTGTATTTTTTCGGAGAGCAACAGATCTGCTGCAGCTAAACCTATTGTTAAAGTATTTTGTTGCCATAAACTTTTAACTACATAAGTAGCAAGTTTAGGCATCATATATATTCAAGACTTGTTTAGGAAAAAAAATAAGTTTAAGTATAATAATTCAAGGATATTCTTTCATAACTTGGTCAGTTTGACAAATTTCTTATTACCTTCACCTATTGGGACTGATAGCTGTAGATGCAACCAAAGTTCCCGGCTCAAAACTGGTGTGATGCCTCGATCAGTCTGGTTTCGTTTTAGATGAACCATGAAAGGGATGTACACAAGATCTCTTGCTCCGTTTCCAGTGCAGAACAAGCGCATATCTGTTTCTTGTTTAGTTACAAATGCTAGTGTGATTACATTGACACCCGCTCTGGATAGAATTAAATAATTTTCGGGCAGATCTATACCCTTAGAGTTAGAGTCCAAATATCTGAGGTGGTAAAAGGTTTGTTTAACACAGTCTTTAAAATAATAAATCGCCGTTTCTTCACAATCTTCACCAAAATCACACATACCCGACGACATCGCTGCCATTTTCCTTCCATGTAAATAATGACTTTTTTACTCTTCATGCACTGAAGAGTTCGAAAAGATCGATAATTCCGGTAAAAAATAAAGAGATTCAAAAGTGTATATCTTGAGATTCATTGTAAATCCAAGAAATTCCTTGAAAGATGTTTTATAAAAATAACTCATTAAAGCAGACAGATAATTATAAACAAAAGTTCACCCGTTGTATCAAACACAGCACTGCGTTTCTCATAGAGATATGAAAAGTCAAATGAATTTTCTCTTATTGTCATGTCATCTTCATCTCCCTCGGGAGATGATGACACATTAAGATTGTATGCCGGAAGTGAAGTCCTAGTGTAAGCCTCCATTACTCTTTCGGGAGTCCTCGATGTTTTACAGAGTTCCAAGTAGCCTGTAAACTGGTTTTCTTTTAGAAGAACTAGCTTAGGAGTGTGTGATCTATTTTCGGTTTAAGCCTATTTGAGGACAAACACCACTAAATGTTTTCCCATAGACTTCCATACAAACTTGAGCCCCTGTCACTCATACATATATTAAATTTCGGGCAAATGGCCTTTTTGTCGTGAAAGTTCGAGATATTGGAAAACAAAACATGCCAGAGAAAATGTACCGTCACGCGGCACTTTTACTTTCAATTTCCATTTGTTTTCAACAAGGTGCGTTTGACACCAAATGAAAATCTCTAACCAAAGGGCACCCCTCCTTTCAAATTTTTACCTGTAACTCCTACATATCTCAAAGAAACCCAAGTCTTGATATTACATTTTTATCAACTTTATTTCACTTGTCAAATACATATCAAGTCTTTTCTCTTATTGACCAATCACGCGCCAGGTAGCATTTTCTCCTCCGCACAACTTTGGGTGTCCAAAATGTCTGCGCCCATGTATTTGTTTATGTAGGGGTTTTTCCTATAGAGTAAAAGAAACATTTATAAAAAGTGGTCAATTTAGTAAATTTAGAACACATATCCATTGCTTATCTCACCTCTTGAATATTGGGACTGACAGTCTTAGCTTAAGTACACCATTGGCTGTTACATTTCACACCCCAGTCAATCAGACCCTCATCTGTAAAACAGAAAAAATGTCAATAAATTGAAGCATTTTTTCTATTTTTCTTTCAAACTTTTAAAATAAAATGATTAATCTCGCATGTGTTTTGCTTGTTTTTCTTATTATCTCTAAAAATTTCTCAAGGTAGATCATGTTAATCATTCAGGGTAGCAGGTACCCGTTATTAATGGAAAATGAAGAAAATCAGCAGGTTTTTGTAAGAAAACGCTGGGTTATGGAAAGAGTGAAATCTAATGTAGATAAAATAATCAATGGAAAGAAAGAGAATTATATGTAGTTCAAATGTACATAAGATTAAAAAAAATCTATCAGCAGTGGGTTGCTGGCATCAGAGAATCAAATACATCCCCACTAAAAAAATTTTAATTTTGAAGGGGGGTGACCTACATTTTAGCCAATTTTCATGGACATTTCATGGAATTGATGTTAAATATGTATATTCTCATGAAAGGCAAAGAATTTCATTTGTATATCATTTCTTATTATTGACATAATTGATAAATTGATTAAATGCCAAGGGCAGATAAATCATATTGTCTGATTGAAAACAGTGCTCAATTGTAAGCAAAGTGCTTAAAGACGTACAACACACTGGGGAAGATAACTCTTGCGATTTCAATTGAACGTTTGACGTGACGTCAAGTTTAACGTCAAAAATAAAGCGTCAAAACGACGAGTAAAACGATCCCGATGTATATCAACCATGAAAGAAAATTGGGATATGGGGCTTGGCTGTGATTGTGCGTACCATACTCAATCAATAAGTATTTTTTTTAATTAACCCGATTAAACTCCGTAAAATAGTTAATACCATCTCTTAATGTTTATTTCATTTCATTTCATATACTATAAATTGATTTTTGATCAAAGCGCAGCATTTTTTTTTATTCTGAAAATTTTATTTTACATTGCCAAAATTTTCATTTTTTTTTTGTACAATTGGCTATATAACATTCCGATTAATGGTCTTCATTACAATTTGTGCATACACGATATAAATCTTGTTTTTCTTCTTTAATTAAATAAAACAACAATAAATAAACAATAAACTTTTTACAATGTAAAATCGATGTTGTTCTCAGACCCTTACTGATCAAAGAGGAACAACTCTAAAAATGTAGGAGATGTTCATTTTCCTCACCTTATTCACGGTTTTCCACAGAATCAGATACATTTACAGCAAGACCTGATAAATCAGAGAATTGAATACTATAGACCTCATATACACAATGTAAGTATAGAATTGAAAAGAATTGTTCACTTGCACTGAAATTATTGCCTGACGTCACGGCGTCAGGCTGTATAAGGATTGATAATTGCTTGATCCGAAACTAATAGATCATACCATGAGAGCTTGATTTTGTGCAAACTGATTTACATTGGAAATCTTTCACCTGCATTTTAAAAGAAACATTTTTCAGGGAAACAATGATTTTACTGATGCAGAATAATGCAGTATTTACTTTGTTTACTCTGTTTGTATGAAACAGATTAATGCCTGTGATTTACCGTTTCAACGTGTCCGTGTATCTTTTTTTCTGCATTTCTATACTACTGGATCAGTCCATTTACATTCTACAAAAGAGGTGAATCGCTCTTTTCGCGCCAAATGTCACGAGTAAGCGATCTTCGAGCCTTTTCTTGGATTGTTCTATTGTATGAATGGGGTGTTAACTTCCATGGAATAATTGTTATTGTAACCTATATCTTCATATGATTCAGAAATTCTGTCTACAAATTTTATCTTATTCCTTAAAACATCATATGAATAGTATGTATCAGAATATGGACATGCAAAACAAAAAAAATGATTTCTCTAATTTGTTTCCCCTCTGTTGGTTTATTCCAAATTTTAATGGACTAGTCCAATCACCACAAACGATCGACGCAGTTCAACCAGATTCCAGACGATTTGACGAAAGAAACCTGTGCGAAATCTTGGATTTCTTTTCCACAAAGGCCTTAATGTTGGTTTTACCTATTTCGTTCTAAAAAAATTATAGTAACCACCTTTCAGAAAAAAAAGAGCAATGAACACAAACTACTACTGTTTACTTCATTGGAGAAAATGCTTTCCTACAACATATGTTTTAGTTATATCAATTCTCTAAAATGTTCACAATGAATGATTTGACAACAGATTTCAAAATAGGTGTGGCTTTTTTTAAATTTAGATCCAGGGGTAGAGCAATCTACCTCCAGAAAAGGCAATCGCATCATCTCGGGTCTTTTCGTCAGAGGTCGAAAAACAAACTCGAATGTATCAACTTCATCGGATGTTAAAAATTTACACATTTCCTGTTCATAGTAAAAACGGAGTTAGAAGTCCCTTCTATAGTAATTTTAGATAATATCATTACATTGAATAAAGTTAACTCCATATTCCACAAAAAATAGGTCTATATACATCATCCATGGTTTTATTTCAAAGTTTGTAAAAAAGGGGGGGGGGGTGTCATGGCGTATAAATTAACAATACAATTGTGGTCTTCTTCCCTAGATAAGGCCCGAGGAGTGGGACCGAGGAGTTGCGATTAGCAGAAAACCCACATTGTTAGACGTCGGTCACGATGTTGGTGTCAAAAGGTCAAAAATCGCTATTGCGGCGGCATTTGTCCTATTTTCATGATTTTAAAACAATTCACCATATGAAAACTATATATCATTCGGTCGGTATTTGTATACTTAATACATTTTAACAAAAATATTGTTAAAAAAATTCCATTTAACCAATATATTAATTCGTTTATTCAGTCAATTACGTCAAAAACGCATGTAGACGGGTAACAGGAGCGTCGCACATGCAATAACAAAATTTTGATAACTTCCATAAAACAAACAATACAAACATAAAATTTGGCAGAAAAATTCAAAATATGATGTAATTGATGTAAATTCTAGCAATTGTGATGTTATTCAATCCGTATGTTCTGAACGCGTTTCTCAGAATCCAAGACAGAGGTGTAGACGCGCGTAAATCGACGAAATATGGGATACACATAAAAAGTCTTCGGTTACTTAAAAAAATAATTTCATGAGCTTAATCAATTTTGAAATTGCATCTCAATGATCCTTTTTGTGTGCAAGGAAGCATATTTTAAATTAGACGGATCGTTTTTGTGGATATGTATGTTGGGTTTCTGCTATTAAGCCGATTTATTTTGAATATATGGAATAAGATGGCGTGTCACAAAGTTTGGAGGTTCATCAATGTCACAGAGTTTTTAAGATTCGTAAAATCCCCAATTTTGTAATGCTGGGTGAAAAATTAATGTTGAAATTTATTTTAAATTCTACAAAATGTTGCCATGTTATTAAGGAAAAGTCCTCTAGACAGAATTTTAACTTGCGGCATCTTAAATTTTGATAATAATTGCCATGTCACATATATGTACAACATGTAGCTATATGTCACAATTGAATTTTACGGCAAAAACGTCACATTTAAATGCTACACTCCATGAATTACTTTAGTGTTAAGAATTAATTTTTCTAATTTACTACAAAACAACATTTATTACTAAATGTGCAAAATCAAAACTTTACGTAGATATGAAAATTAATTGATTCTATAAAGAAGTATTTGTTTTAGAGGGGTTTTACAAAGTCAACAATAAATGTCACACATTGCCCAAAAGTAATAAATCTAACTATAATTGTATGAATGTTGTGACATAAATCGTATAAGTAGTCATTAAAAATAGACATATTGAAAATTAGAGGATTTTTATGAAATGTGCATCTCTTCAAAAAGTTATTGGTATATTCCAAATTAATTTCAATGGAATGGTGACAAAATCCTACCAAAAAATAAAAGTCAACATGTTATGTCACAGACGTAAAAATATGGCGTTTTGACGTACGTTATTACGTTCAATGCATAAAATGTAATCTAAAACGTCAAAAGATTTTTTTTCTCTCCAAAATTTTACTCTTATAGCTAATGAGCCTGATATGGATAAAAGAAAACTATACCAATAATGATTAATTTTAAGAATAATTTTAAGTTTTGAAAGTTGTATTAATATATAGAAGCAAAACATGTACACTATATACTAGTACACTGTATCAGTATATATCCTTGTCAAAAATCTGTACAATAGTACCATTCAGAGTTCGAATAAAGACACCAGAAAAAAATCAATCAAACCAAAATTTATGTAAGGGTGTGATTTCAAATTTGAATTACCTGACAGTAAAGTGTGTCAACTCTATTTGATGCTGGCGTAAACTGTTCTATACATGGCGGGTTTACATTGAATAGTCCAATATTGAATAAGGGTTAGGGGGTGTTGGAAGTTGTAATGTAGATAAAGTATCAGGTTTTCACTTCATAATTTGAAAATTAATTCTTTTTGTCATTAACCCGGTAGCATCGTATGAAATAAAACAAAGTTGTTTTTTATCATGTTAAAAAAAAGGTGTTTACATTCGAAATTGACGACATTCTGAAACAGGTTATGGCGAAATAAAGCTAGTTTCTTGCAATTTTTCTTTCATTAGAACCTAACCCGCTTTTTCATCCAATAAGCTGCTACTAAATTTTCTATCACTTAATTGTTAAGATTTTATGTCTATGCAGTAACTCCACGGGCTGACTAATTAGCAAATGAAAAAGCGAAATAGGTTCTAAGTAAATTAGATCACATTAATTCGCTCCCTCCGCCCCTTCTTAACCACTAAAATTTTACTTAATATGATCTATTACATAAAAATATTTTTCATTAATATATTGGGTCATAAGCTATAGCTAGTGACGTAGCATCCTTTGTGAAAGTGGGGGGGTGTGGGGGAGGGGTGCAGCCGGATATAAATATTACTTACCAAAAAAAAGTTGTCAAGCCAAAAGAAAAGAGAAATTTTGTTTGCCCAAACTCGAAAATCCTATTTCATTTGGGTGGGGGTGGGGGGTTGAAGGCGAACATCTTTCAACGCAAACTTCTTAGTATCAAATTTTCTTTTCTTCATACAATTACTACATTACCCTTATATTA